CAAATTTTTCTTTGAAAATTATAGAACATAAGATATTAATAAATTCTAAAAATAATGAATAAAATTGTTTTATATTTTTTACGATATTGCGTATGTTATTTTTAATTTATTATCCTCCTGTATAATAATCATCATATCCTCGTTGTGTCTCATTTTCGCATAAAAATTAACACGTTTTATGCTTAAATGATTTAATAGTTTAACTGGTTATTGAAAAATAAATATTTCCTGTAATTTTTGAACATTTGAATTGCTCTTATTTTTAGATATGCAACTAGAATTTATTATCAAGTTTTTATCTCTTTTGTTTTTATTAAATTACTATATGTCATTATTTATATTATCAACCAAGAAGTTAGCACTTATGTTAAATTATATTGATATATTAGATTTCATAAAATTACAGTTTTCATAAATTTATAATATTTAACAGTATAATGTAAATAATATTTATAAATTGTAAAAGCATGTCAGATTATACAATCAAATATAATATAGTATCTATACAGTTACTATTATTTAAAACAATGTCAACCATTTATTATTTATAACCATTAAAAAAAGTACCGAATCTAAGTAGATTTGATTATTTTGAAATGGAGTGTAGTAAAATTAAACATCATAAAGTAAAAAGATACACAATACTCGAGTTTAATCACTTTATATCCTTTACATAATATATTAAAGTATCTGCGATATTTACTCATATAAAGTTTACACGGTTAGCACTGATAGGAAGGTGCATAAAGTTTAATGTTGCATGTTTCATCACTATTAATGAAGTTCTAGTTTACATTTGCTTATTGCTCGTTTACATATATGAAAAACTCAATACATATTACAAACTAGTTTGATTGTTAAGTTTAAGTTATTGTCACGAACATTTCAAATGGAAAATAAAAAAAGAGAAATAATTTAAAATGCCTTGACCGGTTTGTGTAATTTTAAATTGGATTACGGTCACATACAGCTTTATAGTAACGGCAACAAAAAGAACTTTTAATACTTCTTAAGTTCTTTTTGTCTTGTCCGTAAACTTTGTGATGTGTTACTGTATAAAGTTGTGTTTTTACACTTTTTATTTTATTTATTTGAATAGATAGTACTAAAAAATACATCCTTTTTTGAACAAATGAAACAGAGGCTCTACTTCCCTTAAATCATAAAAACTTTTTTACTGTAAAAGATATGAAATACCATGAAGTACTTTGTCAAACCTATTTCTTTGATCTTAATTTATCCATTTTAACAATTATTTTTTCTTTTATTTTTCAGTGCAATTTTGAATATTTTCTACTAATTAAAATTGTCAAAAGTTATTTAATTACCACTAAAAGATATAGAATGTTAATTATATTAAATAAAGGACCCTGGTGAAGTTCAAAGACAAGACCTAATGTATATATGGGCCTTTAGAGCTTTTCCGCATTAACTCATTTTGACGCCACAAATTCGGTCGATTCAAGCCGTCAGTATCATCACTTTCTGTAAACTTAATCTTACATAAGAAAGACAAATGCCACTAGTTTTCAAGAAATGTTGCCCTCGCATAGGAATAGCATACATCTATTATCTACTCAAATCCACTTATCCATAATTTACACTATCCCACTGGCATATACAGAGTGGCACAAGTCTAACTGACAACTCTTATAACTTAATACAAATAAATTTCGCTAAAATTTTTTTTAACAATTTTTGAATTTTTAGACTTCATTAGAAGCATATTTTTTATTATTTATTTTTAATAATTATAAAACATTTTTTTAATAATTTATTATATTCAAATTTATAATGTAGCCATTTTTAGAGTGTTTCTTACAAAATGTTTTGATAGGTTAATAACAACTTTAGGATAAATACTTGTTGATTTGTAAGCATATTAATACATTTAGTCAGTATGCAATGAAGGTAAAGTATGCGTTATAATACTCACTGAATGTATCAAAATGCTTGTTTTTCAATAAGTATAATCCTATTGTTATCAACCCATCAAATTTGTTTACAAGAAAAAACGGCTATTTTAACAATTTTAAATAGTTTATTTATCTTGTTAGAAATTAATTCTTATTACAAATAATAAAAAATATGCTTTTAACGTAGTCCAAGAATACAAATCTTATCACAGCAAAATTTTAGTTGCATCAGAAATTATGCCAGTTGTCAGTTAGATCTGTTCCATTCTGTAAGTAAACCAGATAAATTTGTACATTCAAAAATCACGTACAATGCAGACCACTAAATTATAAGCGCGTAACACGTTCTAGTATATATGCACGTGACCATCGTGAATATTTTATAAAAACTTTGTAGGTGTGTATTTTGTGGGCAAACAAGATTAGTCAGTAACTAAACTTCAAAAATTAGAAGGAGCATTAAAATTAGACTTTATTTTTTTACTTTGCTTCGAAATTTTTTCGTTGACGTTTAATTGAGCGTTTCACTTAAAAAATAATAATTATTTTAGAGTTATTAAAGTAAGATGTAAGACGAACGTATTACTTTTATAATTTTATTACACAGAATAATTTTTGGCAAATTCAATATGAAGTCTCTGATTCTCTGCTAGGCGTTCATAAAAATCTTCAAAGAACGTTTAAATTTTCTTATTAGGTGTATGATAAATTAGTATTTTACATAAAGGATGACTAATAATAAATAAATTATGTTAATGTAGTAATAATTTAAATGTCTTTCAATTATTAAAATTCGCCAACAACGTTGATATTGACTGAATTAAATGAATAAAGTAGTATTTCAACTTAGAACGTGTATCTCGTTTATTATGCAAAATAACAGAAAGTTTGTATTCTGCTTCTTCTCTCTTTTAAAATAATCATTTTAATGGAAAATGTAATCATTGAAAACTCATTGGTAATTTAGAAGTTTATAGCCTCGTGTAAAAAATGATTAACATCTCTTCTCTGCGACTTATAAATAAACCCTTAAAATTAACCTACACGTAAATGTTTATGTGCAATTGATTACACGTTTCATTGATTAACTTAAAATTTTTACTATTATACGATGTCATATTTTCAAAATCGTTTGGTAGTCAAAATAAGTCAAATTTCTTGTAGATGTAACCCAGTTCGATTTTTAAAAATATAAAATATATTTGAACACACAAATACAATGTCTATTTTTAATTAAATAATTGCTGTCGCGGAGGAGTTAACTTGTGGATAATTTTATCATAAAAATTAAATTATGTATTCATGACAGTGACACGCAATTGAAACGTTCAATTAAAAACAAATATTTAGTTAGTGGTATTTAAATTAATTCTCAAATCACTATTAAATATTAATATTTTTTTTAATATAAAATGATTTCTTTCAAAGTGACAGTATGTTTGATTTGTTTTTATGTTTTTAAAAGAATAACTAAATTTTATTAAAATGAATGGTATTTTTTTATGATTATCTAATTTATTTTCAGAGGAAACTGTTTTTAACTAAATAATCTATTATAATTTCAAAGTTATGTATGAACTTTAACTTTAATACTAAACACTATTTAAATAGAATATTTTTTATTAAATAAATGATTAGGTATTGGAAGAAAATGGCTAAATACCTCTATATTTAATGGCCCTAATATGATGGACTGATTGAAATGTTTAAAAAATTTATTGTAATTTTGTTTGGATATCACGAAATTAACTAAATTATTTATTAAGATCTTTTCATGTTAGCCCTTTTGAAATTATGCGAAGTTTCGTCATTACAAACTATTAGAAATCGCATAGAAAAATTGATACAAAATTCACATTTTTAACATCACTAAAACTGGCGCTTGAAGTACCAGGTTATATCACAAAGTAGCAGATAAGCATTATTTTTTATCTCTCAACATTAAACATGAAATCTATGTAACTTCTAAGCCATTCAATTTCGCACATTGTGATGGATTTGGTTTTATATGTTTCATCTATTTATAAGTGCATTGATTTGAGTTAATCTTTAATTTTCTTAAATTATTAATCAACTGAAATTGTATCAATTTTCATTAAATTTTATTTCATTAGTATAATTCCTCATAAGTATAAAAAACACATACTCGATGGAGAATAATTCGCATAACACTAGAAAATATTGTCCTCCGTATATTTTATTTTAAAATTAGATCACTAGGAATGAATTATAGATAGGTATTAATTATTGACTAGTAGACTTACTGTAAATATTCTTATATCTTTGATACGTACAATGTAAAAAGAATATCGAAATTGTTCAAATTTATTAACGTTTTAAACGTTGATAAACGTTTCTATTGGTCAATGTTTTTATTTTTACTAGATGTCATCGAATTTGTTATTTTACATCTACATATATTCTTTCATAAACAAAGTTATGTTATTATTTCAATCCACAACAATAACAACTAAAAATCAAACAAACTATTCGATAAATTATAAGTCATCCGTAAAAAGTATCCATTTTATAAAAATGAATTACTTTATAAACTAAAATACTACACTTCATCTCTGTTTATTGTTTATTATAAAATTCAAAAATCATCAAGAACAGATATTTATTAAAAAATTTGAATTGCTTAAATAAATAAATAAATATCCAAAAATATTTACTTTTTCTCGAGAAAAATTGGATTATAATGAATAAATAAATAATTGGGACATTTGTTATGCTTAACTATTTGTGTTTAAACACTTAAGTTTATTAGTTTGGCCAACATCTGCAGCGTTCAGTCAACTAAAAAACGTTCTTGATATTTTAAAGTAAATAATAAAACTTTAAATAATACTTTATAGTAACATAAATATTCAAGTATACCTTATTCTTTATTTTTAATTTATAATCAAGAAATACTCTAGATTTCATATAAATATATGGTAGATAGAAAATAAAATTGGAGGTGAAAAGTTAAACTCATTAATTTCGCAGATTAAAAATTACTCTTGTTAATTGATTAATATTTTCTTAGAGTATATAGAAAAATAAAATGTGTAATAATAGTTTTGCTTCATTCTTTTCCAGACCTTGGTGTACAGAGATGGAATTTTACTATCTGGCCCATTACCAAGTCTTGTTCAGCACCTGGTTCCTACCGCAGATTATTACCCAGATCAGGCTTATCTGTTCGCATTTATTCTCAGTTCACGGTTATTCGTGAAACCACACGAGTTACTTGCAAAGGTTGTAGCTATTTGCCAGGCTCAACAGAAGCTTGGAGATTACGTTTCAGCCGCACAAAATTCTCATCATAAGGTATATACTTAAGATATTTTTGTTTATTGTGTCATGATAAATAAGTTATAATAAGAAATAAAAAAGTTAGAATATTAAAATAGATTTATATATATAGGGTGTCCTACTAGATTTTGACAAATTTAATAACATGCGATCTAGCAAGTATTTTGCGTTCTTTTTAAAAAAATTTTTTTATAATTTTGGACTACATAAAAATAATATTTTTTATTATTTGTCTCTAATTAAAAAAAAATTTTTAATTTTTATGAAATTTTAAAAACCATTTAGTAATTTTTTTTATAACACATTTTGATGGATCAATAACTTTAAGATAAGTACTTATTACATTACAGACATTTTATTATATAAAGTTGGTAGATACAGATTGTACTTGTGTATATTTATTATGCAGATTCCACCCACGTTACATATCTGTTATATATATATAGACTGTTCAGTAAGTAAGAAAACGAGTTTCTATTGTTCTTATTGTTTGTAATAACTGACTTCTTTTCTTACTTATTGAACATACTTATAAAAAAAAAAGGAGTTACTATTAATGGAACATTGCCAAATTTTTTATATTTCAATATCTAACTTTTAGAGTTTTAATTATTTGTAAAAAAGATGAAATCATTTTTAAATATTAATATTTTTTAATACATTAAGCAGGTATGTACTAAAGGCGAAGAACATATATAGATTTTGGGGTTACTTTTTAAAGTTAAATGAAAACCTACAATTGTTTTTATTTAATTAAATGTTGAAAAAACTACATAAAATATCGACTGGTTGATAACGAGTTTTGTAATATTAATTTTTGAGATATTAGAATTTTAAGTTTTGGACAAAATGAGGTGCGGAGTAATGTGTTTTCGATGCTCTATTTTTGCTTTAAAACACGGATAAATATACAAACACATTGCTCACTCTTCTCATCTATGCCTAAAAATTACAAATCTGGTTATTAAATTTGTATTCAGTTTATTCACCAACTAATATAATATAATTAATTTTAGAAATAATAACTTTTTTCAATATACATATATTTATCATAGTTCACAAAAATTAAGCTAATTTAATTCAATAAATTTTTATTGAAAAATCATTGTTTAACGAAAAATTAAGTGGTTGTATTATAAATAATAAATCACACTATATTATATATATATACAGAGTGTTCAGTAAGTAATAAAACAAGTCAATTGTTATAAACAATGAGAATAATAGAAACCCGTTCCCTTACCGACTGAATACTATATGTGTGATTTGCCAGAACGATAAATAAAATACTTTCCTTATTACATGAAAGTTTTGTTTAAATTATACGAAAACTTATTTATAATATGTAACGTTTACCAGGATTATTGACTATTTGAATTTTTTTACTCATTCCATTGCAGGATCAACTGTCACGATTCGTACCTAAACTTGTGCAGCTGTTAGCCGAATGGACGGACAAATTCCCTTATGATTTCCGTGATGAACGGGTTATGATCCACGTTCGTGAAATCACTCATCAATGTGTGTCTGTAGAACCTGCCGTCCGGCATCAGGTGTCTGCCATTTTGCAGACTTTGTTACACAAGCTCACTTTGTTGGATAAGTACGAAACATTCCTGCACCAAACCGGCACGGACGTTACCGTTGCTTCTGCCGATGCCTTGTCACCGGTAAGTAATATTTTATAATTATATAGTACGACTACTTAGATTTTTTAACAATTTTTAGATGTTCTTTAAATATACAATATTTATTTATTTCCCATTGAAGTTAATATTTGTATTATGAAATATCATAGTTTAGTTTAATATTTACATAAAAATTATTACAATAATGATTTTTCAATATGTATTTGAAGCGTTTAAAGTCAACTAGTACTGGCAGAGTTTAATTTAATCTAAAATAATCAGTATCTTGTACCGAATTTAATCCAAATTCAAAACGAATACAGTCAATTCTCACTTGTTTGTACGAGTGCTTCAATAATTATAACTTAATAATATTATACATTTTTGAAAAGGATCGACACTGATTTCATAATAGTTTAAATGCGTCTAATATAAAATGTTCATTGTTGGTATAACACAATAAAAATAAACTACATTGATAATTTTTAAATGAACAAAAAATATATATATGTATTTCTAAATGATAATGTTATTTTAAAAAATCGGGTAATTGATAATAAAAACATATAATGTACACAATATGTACTTTTTTGGTTAACGTACTTTTATTTGAGTTATAAACAGTAATTAACTACAATCATTCGATTATTTTACTACTAATTTTTAAATGCCTCGTGAATTAAAAAAAATTATCCGAGCTTATGTTTCATTTAGATCCTGAGCCTAACTATATAATAATTGCACATACTATGTTAATAAAATTAATATAAAATAAAGTTTATTCTGAAGGATTCAATATCGTTTTATTGATTAATTACTGTGTATTAATGTTCAAGTATACAAAGTCTAAAAAGAGTTAATACCAAAAAAAAAAAATGGTATTACTGTGCTGTGTCGTTCATATTTATTCGATTTTATTATCTATACACTATAAAATTACTTTGTGTCCATAGAATTATAAAAACATATACATGAATAAAAAAAAGAATAAATAACATATTATTATGATGTAAAAACTTATTATTGAAAAAAAACTGAATGTTGAAAACTGAACAATAAAAATAAGCTTTTTATTAATTAGTTAACTAGAAACATAGTCACTTTATGGTCTCTAAATTTAATCGTGTTTGAAATTATGATCTGTAGTTGGTCATTTTTTTACTGACTTTCGACCTTGCCTTTATTATTTATATGTCCAAGTGTTGAAAATGTCTAGCAGCGTAGAACATTTGGTTCAATGTGTGTCCTTTACGTGATAATTAGTTATTGAAATCGAACATAAAGGTTAATTTTTAATAGAGTTTAATTAAATTGTATTTTTGAGTTTTTAGGAGTTTAGTTAATAGTTCATTTACAGCCGTTAGCACATTCTATAGTTTGCCTGGAAATAATATATTGACAATATTGTGTTAAAGATATGATCCTGTCTTTGTAATTCACGTGTTAATATATGATTATTGGGTTTTATGAAATATCGATAACATTAATCAATTATATTTATACAATAAACAGGTCATAGCATATATTAAAATAGAAAATATTCTAGATCCAGTCATGTTTTAGTAATTTAACTAATTGAATTAAAATTTTAGGTGAGAAAATACGTATACGCGATTTTTAATGACTTTAAGTTAAATATTTGTACTATTTTTTAGTTTTAAAATAATATTTTAAATTATAAATAATAAAGATTTTGAAAAAAAAAGAGATGATAATTCAGTAATATAATTTATTACCATAAAACGATAAATTAAATAAATAGAGAAACACGATATTAAGATATATGAAAATTTACCGCTAAGTGACAAGAATAATTTCTAGACACGTCAGATGTGCTTATTTTATCTGCCACAAGAGCCAATGCTAATTTAAATTACTTTTCCTTCTAGTAATTTTATCATACATGTTGATCCGTTTCTCATAACTCATTTAATTACAAAAGAAATATAATATTGAGAAGAAAACTTCGTTTTTTTAGTTTTTGTTTTAGTTAATATTATTGAAGATTATATAATGTACATTACAAAATCTACGACCAAAGACTACATAGACTGAGGGAGAGGGACGGGTATGACTATTTGTGTTATTAGATATTCTCGGTCGCGCTCCTCTACCCGCTCACTTATATAAACTTCCAAATTACTGATCTAAATGTTGTTATTGACCAGGCAGTTTCTTATTCGGTTGGGTAAAAAATAAAGTTGGCACCTTTAAAAGGTATATGGGATGGATTAAAAAATAATTTTATATTAATTAAGAAATATTTGAAACTAAAAAATATCAAAAAGAATTTTCTTAAAATAATTATTACTTTAAGAAAAATCGAGTGGCTAAATTTAAAAAATCACTCTTCATGTTTCATATATAAATATTTAACGAAGTTAACACTCCTATAAGTATATGGGATGATTCTAAACAGTAAATATAATTTAAAAAATTAATTTTTTTTCTGGATAATGTATTTATTTTGCGATTAATTAAACGGAATAACTGTGTATGTAAGTTCAATTTCAGCATTGATATCGTTTTTTAAAAAAATTGTTTTCTATTAATCAAATTCATTCTACTAAATAATACAAAATATATATTTTCATGGTTTAGTACTAAAAACATGATACCATTGAAATAAGAGCATTTATCTTTTATTAAACTAAAGATTCAGATTGTTGAATTCAAGTACATATGAAATAAAAACTTTTAGAACAAATAAAAAGTTCTCACTTAACTAAAATTAGTTATCTCCATAAATGGAAACCTTAAACGAGTATACAAGTATTGAATGAAATAGACATTGCTCTTAACTGGGTTTTAGTAATAGAAAATAAAAATGGCTGGTTTCTTTTGTTTTGAGATTTTTTTACATATAATTTTTTTTTCAATTCAATAATAAGCTAAATCTATGTTAACCATTTATTCTAAAAAATAAACAAAGTAAACATTTCAAGTTCTATATAGAAGTCATTATTTAAATTGTTTATAAATTTAAAGAAGTAGAACTTTTAGTTCATTTCAGGTCCCTTAAAGTAAATAATGATAAAAGAACTTTTTAGTATCAGATAATATGTTAATTATCTCATGTTTTTTTTTTTTTAACATTTTTATTTTTTAATTAATTTTTGCCTATTCATATTTTTATTAACTTTCTTTAGTCAATTATTTAGTTAAATTTAACGTTTACAATGTGGCAACGTTTATAAAATTTTTTTAAATCTTAAAGCAAAATTATTATGATAGATGAAAATATATTTAATCTAATTTATGTTAAAAAGTTATATAGATAACAATTACTACTGGCTGATAATAATTTTCCACAGTGACTGTCCTTACGAAATACTAACACTTTAAAGTCTAGATATATTACTACTTCTGAAAAAAATCTTAAATTGTTTCTATGTTTTTTGGAATATTAATCAAGTATTTTGTCTACTTGATGTAGATTAATCTTATTTTTTATCGACATTCTTATTGTTTCTGTTTGAAAAATGATGTTAATAATATTTTTAGTGGGACAATAAACAGTATAAAATTGTACAACTCTAATATATATGAAAAAAATCTCCATAACTAATCAAAGGCAATAATGCTTTAGCGGCGAGTTCCTCATAAATTTCCTATAGATTTTAGTATAAAAGAATTACTAATGGCAATATCTAAAACTACTATACAAAAAGCATTTGACTAACAGTAATATTTTTAAGTATATCTTTTATAAACTATATATTTGTATATTTTAATTATTTACTAAAAATGTGTGTATTGATTATAGAAAAATGATTAATAAATATAAAAATAAATCATTAACATGGTATGGTAAAATTCTCTTTGTGTAAAATTTCACATTAGGTAAATTACGAAAAGAATTAAACATTTCTGGGCAATATCGATATGCACCAAGAATAAGGCAGTAAGTCACTTTTTCTCACTTTTCAAGAAAATCGAAAATAAAAATTAGTCTCTGATATGTTTATCAATTTTCTTAGTAGTTCAATCCAAATTGTCGACATTTTGATGAATGTTATTATAAGAAGAATAAAACTTAGATTCAAATACCTCATAATTTTAAAATGGATTTTTTTGAGTTACTGCCTTATTTGTTGCACATAGCGATGTATTAGATTATGTTCAAAACCGTTTATTATTCTATTTTTGTATACAAATATATAAGGTAATTTGTTACTTTTATACTGTTAGCATAAAGAGCCATGTGCAATTCTTTTAATGGTTTTTGTTTACAAGTTTAAATTTTACTTTATTAGTATATTAATGTTATAAGTATTTTTCGTTTTCCTGGGTAATTTAACAAACATCTGGTGGAGATAGTATTAAAGTTCCAAGTTCTTCTTTGTAAGAACGCCATTGACCTCATTGATAATATATAATTTATGAATTGTAATGTAATACATTCCAGGCTATTTAATCACATATAGTATTTGTGTGCAGTTTGCAGATATCTATCTCTAAATTTTACATTGAAATAACTGAATTGCTCCAATTTATTGAGTAAATGTGAAATATATAGAGAAGTCTATCTAAAGGAATCTTTAGATTATTAATCTTGTTGACAGTCTGATTTATGATATTGTTGTGCTTTGAAAATTATCTAATATTAATTTAATATTTAAAATACTAAACAGAGTTATAATCGTGACTGACATTAAACAATATATTGATAATCATAAAATGTAATTTAAAAGTTTAATAAGTAATAGAGTTTATGTAAATTTTAATGAAATACGATACATGAGTTTTTATTAGACGATCAAACTTTAGTGTGACTTTTTTGTTTTGTTATAACTTTAGCATAGTAGGTTAAATTAATTCGAGTTTTTCATTGACTTTATTTTTATGGGTATAACAAAAGTAAAATACTACATAACATGAACATAAAATTTATCTATAAGTGGAAATAAAAAGTGCATGTATAAAACAATTATTATTTCCAGCTTATAATGAGCTATCGAGTTTAAATAATTGTTCGTGTGTCATGTAAATTATTTCCTACAAAAAATTGTTAACTGATATTTTTTCATGACATGTAATTTTGTAAAATTAAAGAAATATTTTAGCTTCGATGCGAAGCTAAGAAGGTATTGGTTTTACTATGATGTGTTTTTTTTTTTTTTGTGTGTCTGTTACCACTTTTTCTCAGCTCTCACCAAACCGATTTCTTTGAACGATACGTCAAAAGATCACAAATCGTATCTAGTCGAAGACATTACCCTTAAAAATTGAAAAAATTTCCCTCGTTCCCCGTAAATGGGGGAAACCTTCAAAAAAATTACAAATTTAAAAATCGCTAATTTTCGAAATTTTTTTCAATTTTTTTTACTAAAAACTGGCGTAACTTTTTCAAAAATGAACATATCAATATATTTTTTTTTTTTATAGATGCTTGATGTCCTTATCTATCATTTGGTATATTTTTTTTGTAAATTTAACCCTTTATCTGTCCACAGGGGGGATTTAAAATGACAACTTTTTCACAAAAAATTAACTTTTTCAACTTAACTTTTGAAAATGTTCCGGAAGGTCTGACACTTTTATATATATCTTAAATTAAAGCTAATGTAATGTACTTTAATTTGAAAAAAAAAAAATTTGACCTCTGGACTTGTCTTCATGGTGAAAATGGACACCGAATGCTATTTTTGTGTGAAAATTCTCGATTTTATAATTTACATTTTTTACTTTAAAGTGCTATAACTTTTTAAAAAATGTATGGATCAATACAATTTTTTCATGAGAAGTAGTATTTATATACATCTTTCATTGGACATACTTTTTTTTTAAATCAGACTATTTCCCTATATACGGGAGGGCTTCAAATATAAAAAATGCATATAGAAAGTAGAACTTTTCAACTTAATTTTTGAAAGTGTTCTGGAAGGTCTGACACTTTTATATATATCTTAAATTGAAGCTTATGTAATATACTTTAATTTGAAAAAAAAAAATTTGACCTCTGGACTTGTCTTCACGGTGAAAATAGACATCAAAATTAATAAAAAATTACGAATTTTGTAAAATAATTTTTTTTTATATTTTTAACTTAATAATGCTATAACTTTTTGAAAAATCAACAAATCAACATAATTTTTTTTTATACTAAAACCTTAAATATTTCCCTTTCATTTGATATTATTTTTTTGAAAATCTAACACTTAACCTGCTCATTGGGGGAGATTTAACTTTTTTACAAAAACTAACTTTTTCAACTTAATTTTTGAAAATGTTCCGGAAATACTGCGTCCTTTAAACATATATCAAATTAAAGCTTATTTTATGTACTATAAAATGAAAAAAAAAANTTTTATGTACTACAAAATGAAAAAAAAAAATTTGTCCCGACACTTTTTTTTCTACATTTAAACGGCTGCCGTAGTTAAAAAAACACTATTTTTGTGTTAAAATTTTCGATTTTCGATTTTAAATTTTCAACTTAAAAATGCTATAACTTTTTGGCTACAACTTTTTGAAAAATGTATTTTTTTTTTCTAAATACATTATAAGTACATCTTTCATTTGACATACTTTTTATTAAAATTGGACAATTTCCCCTTATATAGGGGGCGTTCAAAACTTAAAATATTGTAAAAAACATAGATCTTTTTCAACTGAACTTTTGAAAATGTTCCGGAAATACTGCGTCCTTTAAACATATATCAAATTAAAGGTTATTTTATGTACTATTAAATGAAAAAAAAAAATTTGTCCCGACATCTTATCTTCTATGTGCAAATGGCTGTCGAAAATTTAAAAAAAAATGTAATGTTTGCGATAAAAATTACATTTTATCGGGATGTTTTTTGTACTTAAAACTGCCATAACTTTTTCAAAAATGAACAAATAAAAATAATATTTTTTTGTATTGAAACCTTAGATATTTCCCTTTCATTTGATATAATTTTTTTTGAAAATCTAACACTTATTCTGCTCACTGGGGGGATTTAAAATAGTAACTTTTTTACAAAAAATAACTTTTTCAACTTAATTTTTGAAAATATTCCGGAATTACTGCGTCCTTTAAACATATATCAAATTAAAGCTTATTTTGTGTACTATAAAATAAAAAAAAAAAATTTGTCCCGACGACATATCTTCTATGCGCAAATGGCTACCATATTCAAAAATATGCTATTTTAACAAATTTTTTTTTTTTTTAATTAAACACTATCTACAGATTTGCATCGAAGCGTTTTTTATGATAGTGATTTTAATCACTGTCAGATATCATTTATACTGGGCCAAACTATGCCACGACCTCACTGTGCCGCCACTCCACTGTGCTGGGTTTTTTTTTACTTTAAAGTGCTATAACTTTTTGAAAAATATATGGATTAATACAATTTTTTATGAGAAATAATATTTTTGAATAATCTCTTTTTCATTTGACATACTATATCTTAATCAGGATATTAATAAGGAACTAGCAGATCATGTAGCTTTTGGAATAATACACCAATTTTTTAAAATTAAACACTATCTAAAGATTTGCATCGAAGGGTTTTTTTTTATAGTGATTTTAATCACTGTCAGATATCATTATACTTGATCCAACTATGCCACGTCAACACTGTGCCTCGACCCCCCTGTGCTAGGTTTTTTATTATTGCGTTTACATAAAAATATTAGTTTCATAACTTTTGTTGATTTTTCCCTAGTAAAATATATATTTATCAGTAAACCAAGAAATGATAGAATATTGGTATAATGTATTTGTAAAAATAAAAAAGTAGTATTTAATTATATAAGAAACATTTTTTTTAATATAAGTAAGAAATACTGTTTATTTGGATTAATATTCTTGTTTACGTACGAAATGAATACACATTAATTTTCTGTCTCAATATAATAACAGCCAAGGGCAAATTTCATAAGCCAGTTAAAGTAAACTGTTTTTTGACATTTTTAGAACTGTTCTGGAATCAGAAACAGATTTAACTTTTCAATTATAACTTAACGATTATGCTTTGAAAAAATATTACAAAATTATATTCTTTTTCAAGTAATTTTGAGTTTTGCAAAGTTTTATTTTTCTAAATATTTTTAAGTGTTTATTTCATCTAGTATTATAATTATAGAATGTTGCTGTAATACTATCTTAATTAATTTTTTTCCAAAGTAATATGAAAAATTGTGATAGTTAGTGAAAATAGATTTTTTTTTCATTAGTTTGAGTTTTTTCCAAATTTAATATTATGTTAGTAAATTCTAATTTATTGTTACCCATTATTCGCTTGCCAATCAGCCAAATACCCTCATAATTTATTTGTGTTTAAGATTTAGTATTTTATTTAAAAAATTCAATGTCACTTACTGTGGGCTTCCTGTTTAGTATTGTTTATATAATTTATAAAGTAAATAAATTATTATTACAGCGTCTTGTCTAAACTGCATTTTATTTCAATTTTACTTTACTAATAATTTCCTTGAAAGGTATACTTCATTAATTACGATCATTTAAAATTTAATGTTATTAAAATTGTATTAGAATTAATAAAACTATTACAAATAGTAATAGATACAAGTTATAAACATTATAGTTTGTTATATTAAATTAAAATCTAATAGATAAATATAAGATATATTATGTAAAGATCATTTGGAATATTTATTTTATAATTTCTAAGACAAAAAAGTGACATACTTTCTTGTTTCCTTCCCTGAAAGAATACATTTAACCGAGTGAGTGATGATATAATGTTGTCGTATACACGACAAATAAAAAGAAGAAAAACTGTGTAGTAACATGAAATGCATCATAGGTACTCGAGCGATTGAATATTATTCAATTCATTTTTTTTTTTTTGTCTCGTGTCATCAGTACTTTTACAATGGTGTGACGGTGATGTATGATGTTGCTAAAAACCCTCAAACACGTTTGATGAATTTAGCGCGTCGCATCGATTGATTTTTGACGGTTTTTTACCCATACAAAACTCATTGTATGCCAACGACACAAGAAGTGTACAAATGAGAAGCTTTTTACTCGGTGTGCGAGAATGACAACCTATCACTTCTTATATTCCACAGAAAATTCGACGATAAAATTAATGAGAGTGGTTACTTGGGTGGTTTCAAAGGTACACGTGAAGTACTTTTATATTATATTAAGTATTTAATTAAACTGAAAGTATTACAGGAACGTTTAGTGTTAGGCAAAAATAAGTCTTTATTACCCTCGAATTTCTCTTTTCAACTAATTATAATCAATTTAGAATGTATA